TCTGCCAGTATTTTCTGATAACATGCTGCATTCTTCTTTCCATCAATTTTCACAAGATTCCCCGTTAAATTAGAGATCACCACCCTCCTCCTTAAAACATCAGTGAGCCACCACCGTGCTTCACAGTGGGGATGGTATTCTTTTCATTATAGGCCTTGTTGATACTTCAAACATAGCACTTATGGTTGTGACCATAAAGCTCTATTTCGGTCTTGACACTCCAAGTTACAGTGTGCCAGAAGCTTGTCAAGGTGTAGTTGGGCATATTGTAACCGTGATTTTTTTTGGCATTTTCAAGGTTTTGGATATCTTTTTATATCCGTTTCCATCTTTATAAAGTTCTATTACCTTGTTATGCAGCTCTTTATAGCACTTTTATCCCTGTGAGACTCAACGCACTTTGCAAATATATAAAACCAACATAAAAGTTAAGAGTTTCTGATAAGTTGACTGAATGCCTGATAAAAAAAAGTTTGTCTTTATTCTGGGTTCTGACAGACGGGATTAGTTGGCTGATCAAAGTGAGCAGGATGGAGCTCTTTCAGCTATTGTATGCCTTGATTGTCTAAGGTTTTGAAGGTATGCGGGCCAATTTTAAAATATAATTGCCACTTAATTGGCAGCCAGTGAAGGAAGTGGAGAACAGATGTTATGTGACATGATCGACTTGGTTGATCAGTAGTCTGGATGCTGCATTTTGAACAGTTTGTAGGCATTCTTTTCCTGGGAGGCCCAAATAGAGTACATTACAGTAATCTTGACGAGAGGACATAAATGCATGGATTAATGTTGGCATATCATCGTGTGGAAATAAGCAGATTTTATTATGGAGCAAATCTGCAGTTTAAATGATAGTCCAGAGTCAATCAGAACAACAAGATTTTGTACCTCTGTAATGAGTTCAAAGCCTTCAGGTTCCAGGTCTGCAGGATTATCATGAGGTATTTTGCTGCACGGAGTCCTCTCACCAATAGTAACTCTGTTTTGTCTGGCTTTAATTTAACCAGCTAGCATTCATCCACTCTAAGAGTTCTGCTAAGCAACTGTTGATGAGGCATGTCGGGTCTTTAGTATCTTAGCATAGGAGATGTAGAGTTATGTATCATCAGTGTAGCAATGATATATTAGGCCATGTTGGTTGATGATGTCCCCCAATGGTAGCAAGTAAATTGCAAATAGCGTGGGAGACAATGTAAATCATTGTGGAACTCCACAGGCCAATTCTTTTGGTGACGATGAGTTTCACATTGATGTTACTCTATTAGTGAGAAAAGATTTAAACTAATTAAGATCTGTGCCTCTTAGACCACAGATGTGCTTTAAATGCGCTATTAAATTAAACCTGACTGGAAATAATCAAATATGTTATAGCTTAATTCATGGGCCTCCATTAGAGTTGACACTACTTTTCAATGATTTTCCTTAGAAATGGTAGGTTGGATACTGTAGATACGAATATCCATTTCACTATCTATCCTAGCTGTTCATATAAGGGTTAATTTGAACCAAGAATAAATTTGGAATTGTATCTCCGATTCTCGGAAATAAATTTATCTAAAATCCTAATTACGGAAAAAGTACTGATTTCGAAATGTTCTTGTTAATTGTCCAAGATTTTGGTATTTGTAAATATCTGTTTTTTATCAAATATACGTGCGTTATATTATATAGGATATAACAAGAAACAGCTGCTTATAACTTGTGAAAAACAATCTATGTCATTGTCATCATTGTCACGCCCATATGCTCATTTTTCCCCCTCCCATCCTGCTAGGAAAATGGGGTATAAATATAACTTGCGTAATATAGGAATTTGAATTGGTTATTGAACACGTCTCTGCATTTCCTTTCCAATTTTCAGAGCTCTGATATAAAGAGTTGGCAAATATCCATCATCCACAGAGGGTGGATATTATCCCCAACAGATACTAGTCTGTAATTTGTCACGCAGTCTGAATCTTGTGAAGGTTTTTTTAAGCCTCTTTTAGATGATCTGGGAAGTCTCACGATTCTAGTAAACACTGCACTATTTCTGTGAGGGCTGGGGCGAGTGTTTCAATGCATGTGTGTATAAGATGAGCTGGGGCAGGGTCTAAGTCACACGTAATAAGGTGCAACTTTTGCACGGTTCTTTTAACTTTCTCTATATCCACATTTGTAAATATAGGGCAATCTGTCATTCAACTGTTGTGGTTCTTTTGTATAACTGGTTGGCCTGCTCTGATAGAGGCTTGCATGGAGGAAATAATTTCTGTGAAGAAGATAGCAAATTCTTCACATTTATCCTCAGAAAAGTTGGTGGGGATATGCACACATGCTGGTTTGCAGAACCTTTCTACTGTGCAAAACAGCTGCCTGCGTCTACTGTGGTAGAGTAGAATTCCACGTAACAGGAATGCAGATTTTTTCTGAGTCATCTTCAGAAGGATGAAATCCAGTCAAGTTTTGTCTAGTGAAGTCCAGACTCCTAGTATATACTCAATTTCCAAAAATCAGTTGTAACTAATTACAAAATCATCAAAACATTCCTACAATCTCACTATGATGGTACACTGTAAATAGATCCCAAAACAGGAACTTCATTTGTGAAGAGATTATTTTTTATAAATTGATACATTGTCATAAATTTTTATAAAGCTGACTCTGTTCACAAACAGTTTGACTCCTTGCAATTGGGGGCACCAGGGCACACCTGGCACGTTAACTACTACATTTAGCTGGACTGGTCCTTTAACAACATATAACTCTATATACATTAAATATGAAAAATATATGTTAGCTATAATGCAATACATGGAATCCCTAAAACACATGTCAAAGTATATTAAAATGAATAATTCATATAGCAGAAATGAACCTCAAAGGTTACATAGGTATGTGTCTAGTATGGCACAAAATCAGTTTATTACATTGTTTGCACTGTCACTATCTTCTGTCAATCACAGGTAAGTACGCATTCACAGAGTGGGCATTTATTTTCAGGTGAGGTGTGGTTGTTAAGATGATAACACAGTAAGTGTCCCTGTGCTTTCTCAGAAGGGCAAGCTACTGAGTTTATCTAAGCTTATGTCCATTCTCCAAGTTCTCATATTGTCTGTTTTAGTTGCAATGGCTCTTCCCAAGTTAAAAGGGTGATCCAAACATTGACCCCATGCTCACTGTGCTTAGAGGGGTATAAGCTACATCTCGCTGAATAGACCCAAAGAAGGCTGACACAATCGTCCAACGTTGCTATATCTCTCGTGCAGAGAGAATTTGCTGGCATTTTGGTTATGGACTGGCCTTATGGGTGGGATCAGTCTGATATACAAATGGTATAGGTTGAGCTAAAAATATTTTTTGTCCATTCTCAGAGTTCCCACATGGCACAGATTTGGCCAATCTGTGAGTGGTCAGCATAAATAGCAACAAAGCTATAAAACAGTAGTCATTTGTAACTATGAGCTTTTGTTAATAGCCATAACATACATCAGCTATTTAGAACCAAATTTACCCATTAGGTGTGAGCTGATCCAGTATTATCTGTGACACAAGGGTGTTTTTTTTTTTTTACTTAACAGTAGTTTATAGTGTATTAAAAAGTGAATTGTAAAAATCAAAGTTGTAAAACAACTGAATTGGATGACCTCTATTATGTGTTCTTTGTACTGGATTTCTCTTACAGACAAACTTTCTGGATCAAGGGATGGCTGACAGTTTTGATCTGAGGTGCAAAATAATGACCTTTTTTTTAGAAACAGATCTCAGTATAGATGGTCAGTCATACAAAGGTGAAGCATCTACTATATAAATATAGCTATATAAATAGATCTGACAGATGGAGGCTGCTGGTGTTTCAAGGTGTACCATCATATATCCCTGTAACCTCCATCTGTATGACCTGCACAGTATAAACAAACATACAAAAATCAGATTTTGTTTCCCATTGCTATGGTACCTGGGACTTCAAGGTGCCATTCAGCCATAAACTTGGGTTCTGTGCACCATTCTTATGTCAGTTTTGATACGCAGTGTCATCCCTGCACCTTTATTAAGGCAAAGTTCCTGCATTCACGATGATGCTGCGTGTTCCCCTCTCATCAATACTGATGTGGAACACTTGCCTAATGATGCTTCTTATAGAATTAAAAATTAAAAAAAAAATGTCAATGCTGGGATGCTGCATCAAAACTATGTCTTTACTCATGCTGGTATTGTATATTAGAATAATAGCCATTACTAGAACTGACTAAACTATTTATTTGTTGCTTACTACTGAGAAAGCTAAAGTCCATGCTTCAGACATGCCCAGTGGGAAGCTATTTGTGCTTTTGCAAAGAAAACTAGCTTGTTTCTAGATAACTTTGGTGGCCATGCACTGTTTGTGCCCAATCTAAATCATCCTTCTAAGTTCCTTGAGGTTTCCTTCACCCCTTGCATATTCCATTGAGCCATGGGCTCATTTTTTGATAGATTTTATGGTAGAATTACCACAATCTAAGGGTAATATTAATGATGGTAGATTGTCTCTCCAAAATTGTTGATTTTATACCTCTCAAGTTATGCCAATATATTAACCGAAGAGGCATTCAGGTTACATGGCATTCCCCAGGTCATTATTTGACATAGGGGTTCTCATCTTTAGTATTTCTACTGTCTTTTTCTTCAACCTATCACCCACAAACTAATGGGGTATTGAAGCAATACTTTCATATCATTGTTTCAAATGTGAACTCCAGGGCAACTGTGTGTACCTGCTTCCCTGGGCTGAATTTGTTTTCAATAACATGGGACATGATGAGTCTAGTCACAGCCTGTGACAACCTACCAGTTAGTTTGTTTTAAAAAGAAACTCAAATTGCAGCAGAACAGCAAATCCCTTACAACTGAGACTCTCAAGAGCATTTTAAGGTGAAAACAGGACCATGAGGGATATCTAGTGACACAGGTGCCTTTCAAATTGAAGAAATGGGAGACAGAGCAGCCCTGGGTAGCGAGCTGGGAGGATAGCAGAGCACATAGCCTGGTGAAGGAGAAGGATTCCCAATTTGGACATTTTAAAGGCAACCAGGCAAGATACCATCAGAGAAGAGTTTCAAGCAGAGGAGGACTCTGGAGCAAAGAGTGGAAGATGTTCGACTCATCCGGGAACAGCATCCAACCAAAATTCCGGTTATTATTGAAAGGTATAAGGGGGAGAAGCAGCTTCCTGTGTTAGACAAAACGGAATTTCTTGTGCCAGATTATGTTAACATGAGTGAATTGATTAAAATAATCTGGAGATGCCTACAGCTAAATGCCAACCAGGCTTTCTTCCTTTTGGTAAATGGCCATAGCATGGTGAGTGTGCCTACACCTATCTGCGATGTTTACGGCATAGAAAAGGATGACGATGGCTTCCTTTACATGGTATACGCATCTCAGGAGACTTTTGGAATGAATTCTGCTTTAAATACACAACAGAATCAGCTTCTATTATTTGATGTTTTTTTTCTGGGGACAATTATTATTAAAAAAGCATTTCCTTCCCAGTATATGCTACCCTTTAAGTTATATAATTTTAATAATTCTAACCTTTAAGTTTTTACACTTTTGTTCCACATTAAAATATGAACCGAAAAGTTTAATACAGGTTCGTTGTGTCAACGTTGGATTTTATTCTCCCCCCTCCAAGTACAATCTGTTACTTCCAACACAAACTATGGGTTTTAAACAGTATGTAACAGGGTTACTCGCTAAGGTGAGAATTGTCGGAAATTTCAGGTGAATATATAATGCCAAACATTCAATTTGAAAGTCACTTGGCATTCCTGACAATGCTCACCTTGGTGGATAACGATGTATGTATGAACTTTTCAGATTTATTTTTTTGCCTCAATGTAGCAGCATAAAGGGACAAATGTTTTACTTAATTTGTGTGTACCCTTATTTAGTGTCACCAGGACCATCACAGCTAGTTCCCTATGGCTGTCATACTATTGCTCTTTCAATAGTTGGGTAGCTTAACATTTAAGATGTACATTAGTAGTTTAAATTCAATGCAGACGACATCATTTAACTACCCTGAGCCATGTTCCAAATGTTGCTCTAATTAGATTTATTGTAGGCTGCTTAACACTAGGTTTGAATTAAGTGCTGAATATATATATATATATATATATATATATATATATATATATATGTATATATATATGTATTAAGGCAATTTGCCTGCATTTGTGGGAGGTGCTGGTTTTCTACCCCTAGCCTACTTAAGGCACTCCCCTTGCCTGGCTCCTTACCGTTCGAGGTCAGCGTTGAATGAGGATCCACTTCCGGGTTCTCTCAGACGCCATCTTGGTTTCAGTATCCAGGAGGTTTCACCACGTTAAGCTGTGTCCAGGAATCCTGTTCAGGCCTTTCCGCCCGTCCAGCTTCTTCTGACTCCGTTCTCCGTTGTAGATCGCGTCCCAGGGACTCCTAAACCGTAAGTCAGACCTTCCTGTCACGCCAGGACTGGTTCCCACGGCGTACGGTACAGCACGGGTCCTCGCTTTACGGCTTTTCCCTGGTTATGACACGAATGTTTCAAGCCATTCGCGGGCTTTTCATTCGTACGGTCATTCGGCTGAACATGTTTTAAATCGTTCAATAGTCATTTCGCATATCCTATTCATGTTATTTAAACGAATGTTCATTCGGTTGTTTTGCCGTTCGGCAAATTTTACATACGCTCATACACGCTTTGGTTCGCATAAATCATACGGTTAAACTATTCTAACTTCTGTGTTCCCCTCACATTTGCTTTCGGCTGTTCTGTGTGTTCACGTATAATCCTTTCATGAATTATATTCACCATTTCATGTGTATATAACATTCGGTTAAAGTATTGCTTGCTTAAATAGATTATTGTTGATTACTTTTAACAATTGTCAGTATTGTATTACGTCCACAAATCAAGTCCACTTCTCTGTGTATACCATTTGACTCCCACGCTTTCAGGGGTCTGCATTACTTATCCATTTATACGAATGGACTCAGCCTATGTTACAAGCATCATTTCTGGGTTATTAATACAACATATACAAGGATAGGTTCATTTAAGCAATAATTCTCGGGTTGATACGTCTTTGCTATAAATACATATCATAGATATACATCACTTTACATCATGTTAAATCATTTTGGGGTATCCCTGCCTTTGGTCTTTCTGCTACATATCATACATAACGCTGTGTTAATTAGGCCATGACCTCATCCATGTCCCTTTCTATAAAACCAGTTACATTTCGGTACAGATCATTGAACTCCCACGCCAGGAGTTTTATAACTATCCATTTCATTTCAATTTACTCAGCCTACATTACAGGCCTCATTTCTCTGTCATGACGATGACACATAAGGCTTAAATCCTTTTGCATGCATACTCGGGTTGAATCACACGTACTGATCCAACCAATCATACGTCCCCTACACAGTCATATACATATGTATATAACCTACGTTTCATGTTTTCCTTTACACACCATTATCACGTAACACATAGATTGTTTGTACATAGGCCACGGCCTCCCTCAGATGTCTTATTCAAGCATGCAAACATTTCTGAGCCACTCATAGCTATTCCCATGGTATCAACATAACATTGCTGCTACAGACTATAAGTCTGGTTCTTTTTACACCCCACACTCATCGTACTACTCTCTTTTACCCATTTTAGGCTGTCGAGCTTATATAATTTCTCCACACGGTTTATTCCTGTGATTTATCATACTACCAGGTACGTACACCTGCTCATATGGTATTCTACCATACATTTCATTTCGTCCCCCTAGTTTAGAGTACTGGCAATAGGGTCACAGGATTCCCAATAGGTATTTACCCCATCTTGGCTGTCGCCATTAGTTAGTGGTCCCGCGAGGCCAACACCCCGCCTCAAACGTTTCGGAGGCAAACACCCATCGGGCCACACGTTAGCTAGCCGCCTCGCATGTTGCAAAGAGAGGGCCTCACCTGTCACTCCCTTCCCCTGTTTTCTGTCGTACAGTCACCGAGAGGCCTAAAACTCCTGCCACTACGTCAAGTGGCCTCAATAACCCCTCGCGCCAACGCATAGATAGAGCCTCTCAAGCCGCTTGGCAATTAGTAGGGCCTCACCTGTCACCAAACAAGCATAATACTTTCGCCATCCGGCCTAGCTAGCCTGCCAGTACAATTTGGTGGTTCTATATACTAATTATTGTTTTATTTATAGTATGTCTCAGGAAGGGGTAGAGGATTTCTCCCTGCCTAGCACCCCGGCTAGAGCTGTCACTCCCACACAAGGAGGAGAGCTAGCTAGTCCAGCATCAATTAGATCCTGGACAATCCCGCGCATAACCACGGAATTAAGGAGACGACAAATCCCCTACCCCGCTACAGCAAGGAAGGCAGAACTTTTCAAACTGCTACGCACATCAACCAATAACATGGAAGCCGGGGAAGGATCTAGCCAGTCCAACCCAGGGGACATACAGGCCATGTTATCCTCACTCATGGCATCCATGGGCAAGGTCAACTCCAGGCTGGAGAAACTTGAGTCGGTCACCACGGCCCTCACTCTAGCAGGGCCACCCGCGGCTGCGGTACAAACACCAGCCTTGCCATTAGTCGCTCCAGCCAGCCCCCTGGATGACCAGGAAGTTAGCCCGGCCCACATGATACCTGAGCATATCAAAAGGGATATCCTGGAAGGTAAAGACGTCAACCTGGCTTCCCTGTTGATTGCCTCCCAGGACATTGTGGAACATAAGACGTATGCTTATGATGATGTTTCTGTTATTGTCAGATCTAGGGATGCCCGCCTGAACAGGAAACTGACTATCCCTGAATTTGTACTAGCGTTTGGTATTTACAGGGATGTCATCTGTGCGGTTTATCCCAACAGAAGAGAGGAGTTTGATCTCTATATGCACAAGCTGGTAGACCTGGGCAACAAATATGGTGGTTCAGCATTCTATGACTACCATAGGTCTTTTTTCTGCAAAAGTGGCTGGAGCCTTCTCCCAGTACGGTACACAATCCAACTGGGGAAGGATTGATACCGTCTTATTCTGCAGACACTTTGCAGGTCTAAGAACACCAGCTTGTGCATACTGCTCCTCCACAGCCCATACTACTAATTTTTGTCCCAACACGGCAGACGGACATGCCTCCACACAAGGAACTAGTTCCTCTGGGGATCCAGGGAAACTATCCAAAGACAAATTGGGACGCCCAATCAAGTTTCTGGGCAAGTCCCAGATATGTAATAATTTCAATGTTGGGTCTTGTAATTACAGTGGATGTAGACTATTGCATGTCTGTTCAAAATGTTTTAGGGCACATGCTAAGACCATGTGTCCAAATAAAATGTATTCTAAGCCTTACCTTACGTCCATTAATATGCCAGTATTCACAGCATTGATGTCTCAGCACCCATCTAGACACCTGGTAGATTTTCTTATTTCTGGTTTAACAGAAGGCTTCCACACAGGTATCCTACACATACCAGCTGGCACTCTGGAATGCCCAAACCTACAATCCGCCCAACACAACCCCACAGTGGTTGACACCCTCATAAACCAAGAAGTGGAGGAGGGCTTTGTATTGGGGCCTTTTAGAACTCCCCCATTCACAGAATGGCGCACCAACCCTATTGGTATTGTCACAGGGAAATCTTCCCAAAAACAGAGACTCATCATTGACTTATCGGCTCCCCACTCATCGGCCAACCCCAGTCTTAATTCCCTCATACCCTCTGAGGAATTCTCTCTGCAATACACCACCATAGATCACGCCATTACAGCCATCATATCAAGCAGGGGTGGGAGCCTGGCTCAGTAAGACCGACATTACTAACGCCTTCAAATTACTCCCTATCCACCCCACACTGTGGCACCTGCATGGCATCAAGTGGTCCGAGAACTACTATTTTTTCTCCCGGTTAACTTTTGGGTCCAAAAGTAGCCCAGCTATTTTCGACACATTTGCCGAAGCACTATGCTGGTTACTATTGAACATAGCCGGATGCCCTACAGTATTACATTACTTGGACGATTTCCTACTGGTCGAGGAGAATACTGCACCTCCCACTAGCCTCAAAGCTACCACTAAGCTGTTTGAGCAACTAGGTGTACCCATCTCCCCAAAGAAAACAGAAGGGCCAGACACGGTTATCACTTTTCTGGGTATCCAGTTAGACTCTGCCACAATGCAAGCAAGCCTACCTTACGAAAAGATAGACAATATTCTCACTTACATAAACAACTACCTACAGCTCGGCACTTGCAACCGCAAAGAACTACAGTCCCTGCTGGGGTCACTAAATTTTGCAATGCGCATCATACCTCAAGGCCGCTCCTTTATTTCACGACTATTGCATCTTTTCCCACTTTTTCTACATGACACGCACAGGTTGTCCTTAGATGCCCAAGCTACGGCAGATCTAAACATGTGGAAGAGGTTTTTAACCACTTGGAATGGTAAAAGTATGTTCCTCCCTCAATTGACTGAATCATCTCCTACCATTTGGTCAGATGCTGCATCTACCACTGGTTTTGCAGCAATTTTTGGGAACGAATGGCTTTGGGGCAGCTGGCCTTCAGCAGTTCTGAATTTGGAAGGTTTTTCCACTACCTCAGCTCTTTTTGAGATCTACCCCATAGTGGCGGCTGCCGTAGCGTGGGGTCATTTATGGGCTAATACGCCAGTGCGTTGTTACTCAGACAACCAGGCGACCTGTCACATCATCAACAAAGGTCGTTCCAAATCTCTTACGATTATGAGATTTCTGAGGAAACTCACTTGGTTGGCAGCTTGTCATAATTTCTTCCTATGTTGTTTCCATGTGCCAGGTGTATACAACACAGCTGCTGACAGTTTGTCTCGCTTTAAATTTCAGGAGTTTCATCAAGCACTCCCGTCAGCAGCACCCACAGCCACCATCACTCCAACATTTCAACAACTCATACTGGACTAGACGTCATCATGCAGCATAGCAGGACATTGTCTCAGTTGGCACTTTCACACAATACAAACAAAACATACAACAGGGCTTTCACACTATTCAAACGATTCCTTCTGGAACATAACATCATACAACCGTTTGTTATGACATCTTTTTGGGGTTTGCTTCCTTT